AAAAAAAGGCTCAAAATATTTGAAATGAAAGAACTGAATAGATTTTACTCCAATTTTTAAATTTATGGTCGCTGAAAACAGTTTTATTATAGCTATGATATTTATTGTTACCTACTAATTAAGTTGTTTTAAATCTCATAATTTTTTTTGGAAGAAACATCTGATATTACGACCTAAGTTAACTTTGATAAAAGACAATAGAAGTTTCAGTAAAAAGAAGGAAAATGTTAAAAGCGATGTAGGCACAGTGTAGCAATGTAGGCACAGTGTGCCATATTATTAATAATGATGTCTTATATGAACTGTAATATTCAGCATATGAAACTAACTATGAGATTACATTTAGACACATGGCTAAATAGCTCATCTATTTCTCGAGTAGCTTTTCAGTAGCAGAAATTGGTCTTGGAGATACCGGGTTTTTATATAATCAATAAATATTGAAATTCTACTTTTATGGTAAAGGAATAACTTTCTGTCAGTGTTGGAGATAAAAAGATATTTATAGTTTCTTCAAGCACAGTTTTTAAGAGCAACATTGAAAAATAATCGTTAAGGCTAACAACCAATTTCTCACGGAGATCGAAACATTTAGTAACTTATATCATCAAATTGTAATTTTTATTATCCAATTGCCTTTCCTTTGCAAATGACTTGTTGTTACCTAGCCTTCTTATCATCAGCTTGCTGATGCGTGCCAATAAAGTGGATCCAGGCCCGCAACCCACAAAACGTACTGAGGGAGAAGACTCAGTACACTATGCTGCCTGTTCAGTTAGCTGTTGAAAATGGTCAGCCTCTTTTCTTTCAGAGGCAGTAGGAATCATCCAGCGAGAGCATCAGTGAACTTCTTGTTCTGGTTCACCCACACCTGCTTGATCAAGTGTTTATCATCTAGTACAACAGAAAATGACAAAGAGGGAAAAAACAGGTTAATGTTTTAAGGATTCAGAGGAGGAATAACTTTGAGGAGCCCAGTCTTCTAATGCGGAATTCACCATGCACTTTACTTTGAAGTCTCATTTACCTAAGCTCTGTTGTATTTTGGTGCTGCAATTTTTTCGTTGTGTCAGGGCATCAGTTTTCTATGACGGCCCTCAGTTTTATTAAGTTGACCACATAACTAAAATAAAATTCTCTGGGGCGCCTGGGTGGCTCAGTCGGTTAAGCGGCCGACTTCGGCCCAGGTCATGATCTCGCGGTCCGTGAGTTCGAGCCCTGCGTCGGGCTCTGTGCTGACAGCTCAGAGCCTGGAGCCTGTTTCAGATTCTGTGTCTCCCTCTCTCTGGCCCTCCCCCATTCATGCTTTGTCTCTCTCTGTCTCAAAAATAAATAAATGCTAAAAAAAAAAAATTTTAAATAAAATTCTCTAAAATCGTTTTAAAAAAAAAAACCCACATATGCATTTATACTTAAATCTGTGCTCACAATTTAGGTATTATAATAACCAGAAAGTGAAACTGTGCCAGACATTTCATACATCGATTTATCTTAATATTATTCACTCTGATAAACAGCTTGTTTCCTTACATCATACTGTTTGTGAATAAAATTGTAAGTTCCAGAGAGGATTATTCATGCATGTAGCTGTTTAATTAAAAAGAGAAAGATTAGTCAACCTTTTTCCAGGAGATAACCGAATGAAAGGCAACTTTTAATTACTCCTTTGAAGTTTCTTTCCCAGTTGCAAACTCAGGTTTCAAAACGAACTCTGGGAATGAGCGAACACTGCAGAGAGGAGATCGATCCTATCATGGATCCTGTCTGAATGCTTGGTGGAGTGGGTCAGACCAAACCCTGGCAGTATGTCTATGCTTCACAGCATAGGGAGGGGTTAACACTTTACTTTTCGCTTCCTTCCTCTGTCTTCATTGCACCCGGGGAGTTCTTGTCCCTTACAGGTGGCTGTAAACACAGTTGGCCCGTAGGATCCGCTCCATAATTGCTTACACTTTATTAGCAGTCTGCACGCTTAACACTCGACGCGGTGCTTGATGGCTTCCCATGTTTCTGTCTTTTCAGACGACATCCTTTGCGGTGCCGTGGCACATGGATTTCAGGACTGCCTGTGAAGAGGTATGTTAAACGGCTTTCTGCTTGTTGAATAAGGAAAACAGGTTATAAAGGGGACACGCTGGGCCCTCCTTTATGTGAGTGGAGCACTGCTTTTGGCGCAGGGATGGGTGACGGGTTCATTGCATGTCCAGGGTCTGATCTGTTTCTGCAAGACTAAAAAGCCAAAGAGTGCCTGGGGAGGACCCGGACTTTCACTCTTCCTTAAGAAGAAGACTGGAGCATATTTGATTTGATTCAATTGCCCTTCTCCATAAACTCTGCGCTCGCTGCATGATTTCAGATAGTAGGAGTATTGGAAGGAATTCTTCTCACATGAATGGTTATAAATTAGAAGACATCTGAAGTCCCTTTCAGCACTAAAATCCTATGATTTTATGATTCCAATATTATTTAAGTATTTCAATCTTATTTGAGTATTAGTACATGGCAATTCAGATTCTCTGTAGAGAAGCAGCTCGGTGTGAGTTAAAGTGGACACATTGCTCTTTCAAGGGTATTAAAGGCCATTCAAGTGTGTGGTCAATGGTGCATGGAGTGAGGCCCCAGGGGATGTAACTGTTCTATTTTAGGAAAAAACACTGTGAGATGTCACTTGTTAAGTTTCTTGCAAAAATATCTTCTTTGAAAAACTATTTGTCACAGTTGGTTCAAAGTTTAGAACATGAGTAAGAAAATGAATAAATTGCTTTTATGTGTTTAATACCTAAGCTCTTTACTTTCCAAAGGATTTTCTTTATGCTAGTACATCTCAGATTACATTATAGTTATTTATTTACAAACCTCTCTTCGTGCGACACTAAAAATCATAACGTCAGAGTGTATAATTTATTCATCCTTTTAACCCAGTACCTATCAGTTCACGCTTTTAAAAAGAACAATTAATGCTTTAGAAACTTAAGTTTAGAAGCATGAGTTTAAATCTGTGCCTGTTAAATACACAGTATCATACTCTTAATTTTGGATATAATAGGTCTACCATTTCCATCACAGTTTTTGTTCTTATGTTTTGGGCAGTAGAGCACTCATTGAAATATTTGTGTGAATGAGATAAAAATGAAAGAAAAAACCATATGAGATTCATGTGGGAGAGACAGGATGTGGCCAAGTACTGTCTGAACACATGGTTTACCTTGGATCTCAGAGGCTGAGCTAAGGCCTTCTGAGGCCTTCTACGGACTTCTCAGGCCTTTTTTTTGTTTGTTTGTTTTTAAACAAAATTAGTTGATTCATTGGTTTGGAATATATATCAGGTTCCATTTAAGGGTCAGAGATTTATTTTACAATGATAATTGTATTCGCGGGAATACAGAACTATGGGATCGTCTAAACATGATCAAATCCCCCAGCCGATGAACCAAAGCCACTGAGTTTGCCTGAAATTTACAGTCTCAGAACATTCAAATGGACAGGAACCATAAAGACAATTTAGTTTAACACTCTCACTTTGAGAGGTTTTATGAAATTCTGAGTGCCATTTAATTAATTAGATAAAAGCAAAAGTGTAATGTAGAGCTTGGAATTCCTGAGTCTACGTTGGAGCCTTTTTCTAAATGATGTTGCTGGAAATGAGAACATAGTCAAAGGCATATTAAATAAAACTTGTTTTCTCTTGACTGTTAGTAAGCTATTAAAGATGAAAATCTGACTCTCATGTCCATCAGACAGATCTAGCTAGATGATAACCATGTACATACGGGGAAGTCTCTTCTTTGAACAGAAACAGAACTATGTCCAGATAAGCTCCATTCAGAATATCTTAATTTTCTAACACAGATCCTTTTTGTAAAAGATAGGTCGATTTATTAAGAAGGTTCTCCTCTTAAAAAGAAACAGTCTATAAAATGCAAAAGTGAAGATAGAGAATAAATCCACAATTTACAGGAAAAGTCACATGTTAATGGGCAGGCATAATTACTGATTTTCTACTTTTAAAAGTGTCTTCAAAATAATGATGTGGTCAGGAAGCCAATATGCTATCTTTAGTCTAAGTGTTCCTCAGATTTCATTTCCACATCGATATCCCTTAAAATACAATCCACATCTCGGTGTTGACCATGAAAATACATATTTTTATAACACATATTTAATAATTCAATAAGTTATTTACATATAAAACTTAATTTAGTCCCTCAAGTAATAGAATAGAATTTGTGACTGTGATTCAATCAACACATCCTGAAAGAAATCCTACTATCGATGAAATACTGTACTAGCTCTACAAATTAATATTCCTTAATTATAAAAAGAGTAATAATTTATTATTAAGATCTTCTCATGATAACAAAATATATGATGAAGTTAAATACTGTGATACAGAACACAATGTTACTGAAGTCACTACGTGATGACACGATTCTGGTTAATTGTTAGGCGAATATATTTATTCAAAGAAAACCCAGAGTTCAGAAAAGGAAGCACCTGTCTTCGGATGGAGTAGTCTCGGAAAACCTCAAGGCAAAGTGACTCTTGTACTAGTCGTTGACAAATGGAAGAGTGCAGCCATGGAGAAGGCCATGAATGGAAGCAATCCTAGAAAGCAGGACAAGTACAGTTGGAGGCAGATTGCATCCAATGGCCTTTCCTGCCATGTTGCTATGATACGGTAGAGTATAAGCAATTACACATCACTTAAAGCTATAAGTATACAGAACAAATTAAGTTATATTTGACAACCAAAATATGGAAGTACCAAGGACACTTGCAAAGCTATGCACAAGGCATGACATAGTCTCTGCCCAGTTCCTTGTGGTTTGTATTTTTTTATGTCTGATATTGCACATTTTATATTTTTAGTTTTTAAACATTTATGTATGTATGTATGTATGTATGTATGTATGTATTGAGAGACAGAGAGAGAGAATCCCAGACAGGTTCTATGCTGACAGCACAGAGCTCAATGCGGGGCTCAATCTCTTGGGAGGTTCTGACCCGAGTCGAAATCAAGAGTCGGCCACTTAACTGACTGAGCCACCCAGGCGCCCCACAAATTTTATATTTCAAGATTAAAGGAACATAGATTTTAAAGTTTCATGAAAACAACATGTTGTGTTCTTTCGATGTCTAGAACCCCAATTAAAGAGGCCTTAACTTTTAAGTGTCAAAGAAATTATAGTCCGTTTTTTAAAGTTCCAAGGTAGGAGGATTAAGCTCAAGATAAGTTCTTCATAAGTTTAAAACAGAGTAAATCCATGTGAATTCATAAACACATTTCATTGATTTACAGAAAGCAAGTCAATGACTAGATTTTTAAAGAGCATTGCCTGTTAAATAATGAAGAGGCATGGCCTTTTAATATTCCTCTAAGCGAACAAAGTGGATTTTGTAAAATCCCCCTGCAGTATTGGATCACCCACATCAGGCACAGGAAAACAACATTTGAATTTAATTCATTTTTTTGATGAATCATCCCTTTAACATTTCAGGTTTTCTGTATGTTTTACAATTTATGTAATGTACTGTACACGTCTCTATAGAGCACCTACATTTCTTCCCTACACTGTCCACACGGTTTGAAGACCAATGATGGTGATGTTAATAAACAAACAGAAGATGAATGCAGTTCTTCAGTTTCTTTCACTAAAATGTGCAGCCAATAATTCTCTAGGAGATTTTTTATTGTTCAGCCGTCTGGGTGCACAGATGTAGAGACCGTGGCTGGACTCTCTTAGGTTGTGCGGCTAGAGCGGTCGCTCTCACGGTCCTGGTTCCCGTTATTTTTTGTTTGTTTAATTTTTTTTAAGTGTTTACTTATTTTTGACAGAGAGAGAGAGAGAGAGAGAGAGAGCATGAGGGGGGACGGGCAGAGACCGAGGGAAACACAGAATCCAAAATGGGCTCCAGGCTCCGAGCTGTCAGTGCAGAGCCCGATGCGGGGCTCGAACTCCCAAACCATGAATTCGTGACCTGAGCCCAAGTCAGATACTCAACCGACTGAGCCACCCAGGTGCCCCTCCTGGTTCCCATTCTTATTGGAAGCAATCCATGGGGGATGAGACCATTTAGATCAAGCCTCTCCCAGTATCAGACAGTGTCCTATGCGTCCCCCATAGCTCATCTTTGATGGGACAATCCGCAGGTCAGCATGGCCTCACTCGCTTTAACCCCCCCTCCCCCACAGTGGTCATTGCTTTGATACAGGAGGAACAGCTGCTTCAAGATGATGTCCTTCTTTGCATTCCCCTAGGAAATTCTTGGTGACCCTCTAGTCACCAAGAGCACTTCTGCTACCGCCTGGTGAGAGACACTGATGGCCATGTCATTGCATACAGGAGGATCGGGGGAGGCATCCCTCAACTAATCCGTGCACGAGGGAAACCAGAGCAAGTAGCTAAGAGCGCCGCATCTGGAGCCCAGCAGTCTGGGTTCAAATCCTGCCTTCCGCTCACCTCTGCTGCTCTGCTCTTTTCCTGGCTATGAAACAACTTGCACTGGGTTGTCAGGAGGATCAGATGAAATAATATTTCTGGGCACACAGTAGCGCTATGCAAGTGACTAGTAAACAATGAAAAGCCACACGGCCACATTTCACTAGAGATGATACCGGCCCAGCGGAGCTGCTCTGAATCAGAAGGGTACCCAGTTTTTAATCCACGGTCGCAGCTCTGCTTCTAATGCAGTTGTTGACCAAGCGCCAACATTTTCTGCTCCAGCTCTATACTTGTGTCAACAAAAACCGTGCTGTAACTTTCCCAGTTCCTATCCGCCTCCTGCTCTGCCATAAGAAATATATTTATAAAACATAAATCCTGTTCAGGTTTCTCTGGGGCATCTCCGATACCTTTAACCGCCCGGGACATCACACCAGGGCCTTGACCTTCCTCCTCTACACCCGGCACCTCTCCTCCCTCTGCCTCTCTCGGATCGTTGCAGACTTGGCATCGGGGATGCATGTTCATGCTTCTCTCTTCTTCTGGCATCATGTCGGCTCTCCAATCTCACACTTTCATATCTTTACTCATTCTTCCTTCTTGAATCAAATAGCTGTCGCCTCCTCTAATTATTATTTTCTTATTTTTTAAGACAAACTGTACGTTTTTCTATAGTCCAAGGTGTCTTTAACACCTCCCTCCCTCGAGAATACTTAATTCTTCTCTCCATGTTGCTCCCATATCAGATATCACAGTGCATTTTGTGGACTTATGCATATTTTTGTAAGTAAGAATACTCTGAGGTCAGAGACTATTGTCTGACTCACATCTGACTCACTCTTACATTTTTTTTGGCCAAAAAAACTATTTGCAAAATTTGCAGTATTTGCAAAATGGATGTATGTATGGGATTTTAAATGTATTTGCATGCACACAGCTGAGTTTTTATAATCAGATATATGTATCATCTCTTACCCCTAGAGACTATATTTTTTTTTTTTAATTTTTTTTTCCAACGTTTATTTATTTTTGGGACAGAGAGAGACAGAGCATGAACGGGGGAGGGGCAGAGAGAGAGGGAGACACAGAATCGGAAACAGGCTCCAGGCTCTGAGCCATCAGCCCAGAGCCCGACGCGGGGCTCGAACTCACAGACCGCGAGATCGTGACCTGGCTGAAGTCGGACGCCCAACCGACTGAGCCACCCAGGCGCCCCTAGAGACTATATTTTAAGTTGAATTTGTTGTTAGCTTTGTGAGTCCCTTTTTTCTATTTTCTCCAAACAGCTATTTATTGGGGTGTGTGTGTGTGTGTGTGTATTCATTCTAACAAAATCTGCTTCGTTCTTTGTTTTCTTTAATTCTGTGTTCCCAGGACCCAAATCTGAGCTCAAAGTCTGTATTTTCTTTTGCAGACAACTATCTAATAATGAGGGGGCATTTTATACATTATTTGAGTGAATGGAGCTCTGACCACATCAGACGTAATGACAGAAGTCTCATAGCTGTGTTTTTGTCCCTCAAACTTTCCCTGGATGATCTTTGATATCTCTTTGATGTGTAACAATAATGTATTGATGGGCTCTCAGGGAAAACCCCTTTTCTCATCCTCACATCGAGACAGCATTATTTGTGATTGCCAGCCATTCCATTACACTTCGGGGAGAAAATTGGCCCGAATGTACTGTACATTAAAAAATCAGCAAATGTGCTCAATTATGTTCACTTGGCTTTGATATTATTTTATATCTTCCCCTTCCCCATGCCATCTCAGAGTGGTGCCCAGCCAAGATCACATTGTAAGCATGAAAGACTTTTCTCTGTGAAAAATGTAGAAAATTATGTTCTATATTAAGGAAAATAGAATTTGCTTTTGCTGAAATATTTTTGTCCTCGAGACACATCCACTTGAGTTATGCTCTAGAATAGACTAATCGACACAATTTACTGAGTGTCTGCAGTGCACCAGTCCCATAAAGGAGGAAAGCACACCATCCTTGGTCCCGGAAGAAGCTTGTTTTTCCCTAAAAGACATCATAACCCTTACAGAATAATATATGGGGTGTAATGGCATGTAGTAGCACATGGAATAACGCAGTTTGCAGAAAGAATTGTTTTTAGAGGCCTCGGTATCTAAGTATATTCTCATTTACATTATGGAACATTCTATTAAAGAAACATACCCCTGGAGACCCACATGTGAATTTGTATTGCAAGAGAAAGCCTGGCATTATTGCCTGGGATTTTGTGCTCATTAAATACTAAGGGTAAATATGTATTTCTGTGTACTTATCCATTTATCCAAATTAAGAATGGCTCAATACTTATGAAATGAAAATGTAATTGCCAAGGTAGCCATTGTTCCTGTTGACTTTTTGGTGCAGAATAGCAGCCAGGGATGATTTTCTGTCTCAGAGGAATTTCCGTTTGTATTTCTGATGAATAGGAACCTTCAGTGCTCTTGCTAGGGAGCATATTTCTGTGGATCTGGGTGAGTGTTATACCCTGATCTGCTTCAGGAGACACGGGCTTCGTGGGCTTCTTCCACAATCACTGAGGTCCTGGCGTAAAGCCACGCAGTGCAAGTTCCACCACCTTCACGGGCTGTTTTGACAAGTCCCCGAAATATCTGAAACAAATCAGTGGACTGGGAACCGTACATCTTGAGTCTGAAGTCAGGCGGCTTTTAACTAACTGCATTCATGTAGACAGTTCTCCTCACACCTGTATCCTCATTTCTTTAGCTGGGCTGTGTATGTGTGCATGCCTGAGTGTTTGTGAGTGGGTGTGTACGCGTGTCCAAGTATGTGTGTCTGTGTGCTTGGTGACTAGGAATGATGAAATCGTGGAGGTTCCAAAAGATGTTAAGTACGTAGAGTTTCAGATTTAAAATTCCACCACAGAGACAGAACCTAGGCTAGTGGTTGCCTAGGGCTAGGGCGAGGGGTGGGGCGATGGACGTAACAGGTTTCCCTTTGGAGGGATGAAAATGTTCTAAAATTGATTATAATGATGCCTGCACGACTTTGAATGCACTAAAAAACACTGACTTGTACATCCTAAAGGGTTGAATTATATAGGAGGTGACGTGTATCTCAATAAATCTGTTGCCAAAATGTTGTACTTAGATTATAAGTATTAAACAAAACTCATCATTTTTCAGATATGGTGTATAAACTATCCTCCTCCCTGGCCTCATCTGATGTGGATTTTCTGACATAGCCTCCATTACCTGAGGTCACCTCACATGAAATGGTTAACCTTGCCTGCACCTGTATTAAGTATCAAATTCCAGATTCATCAGTGCGCAGTTTCCTTAGGTCTCAAATGCTATTCATCATGTTTTGCTGTGAATCGGCCATAAAATTATATTCTATAAACTGAGTGTAATTTATTTTCTCTGTTTTGTTCTCTCCCTGCCTGAAGACAAAGACAGGGATTTGTTTGCTGCAGGATGGTAATCAGGAGCCTTTCAAAGTCCGGCTGCACCTAGCTAAAGATATTTTGATGATCCAGGAGCAAGATGTGATATGTGTGTCTGGTGAACCTTTCTATTCTGGTGTAAGTAGCTCTTCCTTCTGTTGAAGTTTGTTGTTTTTTCTTTTTTTTTTTTTTAATTTGTTCTGTTAACAAAAATGTTTATTCACAGAAAATTCATAATATATTTTCTTTTACCCTCTGAGCCTAGTCAGTCATCTTGTGTGTCAGCTTTGTTCACATTATTAAGTAAGCACTGTCCTTTTCCAAGTACCAAACCCGGGTCCACAGCCACACAAGGGCCCATCCCTACACACGAAGGCACCTCGCGGACTCCCAGCTGTGGTTATGGGACCTTGAGCAGGTGCATTCCAGCTTTTTACACGGAGTACTGTCTGAGAACAGTGCAGGGCAGTTTTTCCTACCGTGACCTTACATCATTGCCTACCCTGACGGATGCATCACATTGAACTTTGCAGGTGGTGCCAACATGGAGCCCAATTCTTCGCACCTGGGAAGCGTGAGGCTTTAGGTGGCAGTCACTGGACTCAATGTCAACGCTTTTCCCCAGGGGAAAGGGCATGAATGATTCCATGGACCTCCCTGATAGAATTATGCCTAAGTGTCATAGCAAGGTCTCTCTGATGCCCCGACTGGTTGGCGTATTACCTCGCCGCTAATCCAGTCTCAGAAAGGGCCATAAATCATCACTCGAGACTCATTGGTCTGCTTAGTAACACTGAAGTACAGCTGTGGAAGACATCCTTAGGTGAAATTAGATTATACTTGACAAAACAACTTTGTCATTAAAGAGGACAACTTTCAGAGTTTATCACTTATTGTGTAATAACATTAAAGACATTATTTTAACAGCGTTGCCATATGTGATCTCAGAAGAAAATTATAGAAAACAACAAACATTCGGCTTCCTTGGATTCCCCGGACATCTATAGCTATTTAGCACAAAGATTTAATTTGTAGCTTATTAACAGACTTACCTCAGAGTGTTTTGTTGGTGACGAATAATGCTGAACTTGAGTTTCCACCTCGCTTGTCACCAACATCCTATGGGAGTCACACCAGGTCCTAAATCAATAGGCCTTTGCTAACTAAAGATAATGGGCATTTTGCAGACTGTTAACTATTCTTTTGTCACAGACCATTTAAATCATCCTGAATCATGGGTCTGGCTGTCAAAGCTGATTAAATTGTTCCCACAGGGTGCCCTTTCTTCCTTTTAGTTAATTAAACAATAGCAGTCAATAGTCAATTCCTTCCTCCCTTCCTCCCTTCCTCCCTCCCTCCCTCCCTCCCTCCCCCCTCCCTTCCTTCCTTCCTTCCTTCCTTCCTTCCTTCCTTCCTTCCTCCCTCCCCCACTCTATTCCCTCTCCTCCTCCCCTCTCTCTTTCTCTGTCTCTTTTCAGTGAAGCAATACAACTCCCTTTGGAATGAATATCTTACACAAGTCCTAGAACAATAAAATGCTGTCATTTGTAAAATCCGGACTATCAACATGGAGATAATATTATTGATTTTAATCTATGCAATCAAAATAGCTAATATACGTAAACCTAATCTCTCTTTTGAAAAGAAAGTTAGGAAGAACTTGATAGAATCAAGGAGAAACATTCTATGATAATGTCAACACATGCAAAAACAAATTGACACAATTTGGCAGTCATTTATAAGAAACACTTTCAGCAAAGTCTGGATAGGATGGAACTCCCTTAAGCCAATAATCTCCTAATGAACACTTCTTACTAACTTTATCATCCACATTGAAGAACTCTCTGAGGTTGTAAGCAAGGCACAGATCATCACTTGCCACATTTTTACTCAATATTGTTTTGGTTGTACAGTAAGTCAGGAAATGGATATAAATGGCATAACAGTTGAAAAAGGAGATAAAACAAGTTTATTTTAGATGCCATGATGGTGTGTGTAGAAAACTCTAAGAAATCTACAAAAAATAGAATGACATACAAATTCATCAAGGTTGCTGGAAAATAAGGACGATGTCCAAAGTTAGTCATATTTCTATAATTTGCAACACAAAAACAAAAATGGAATCTACAATACATCAAAGGGATAAGAAATTTAGCAAAATGTGTACAAAGCTTTTACCTTGAAAACTACAATACTGTGATAAATGAAATGAAGATACACAAGCCAATGGAGAAATGTAACTTGATTGTGAGTTAACGACTAAATATTGTTAAGTTGTCACATCTTCCTAAACACTCATTATCAATCAAAATCCCCAAAATGTTTTCGTAGACCATGACAGGCTATTGCTAGGAGTTACATGGAAATACAACGACTCCAGTATAGCCCAAACAATCTTGAATAAGGAGAGCAAAGTTGGAGTGTTTATACTTCCCACTTTCAGAACTTACTATAAGATTGCAATAATGAATGCAATGTGAGATTGTCACAAGTACAGGTACCTGAATCAATGGAACATTATAGAGTCCGGAAACAGACCCATGCTTATATGGCCAATTGCTTTTTTTTTTTTTACTGTAGTAAACTATGCATAAAAGTTATCACTTTAACCATTTTTAAGGGTACAGTTCAGTGGCACTGAGCATATTCACATTGATGTGAACCTATCACTACTATCCGTATCGAGAATTTTCATCATCTCATACTAAAACTCTGGGTCCGTTAAGTATTTCCCAGACCCTCTCCCTTCAGCCCCTGGTAACCTCTATACTACTTCCTGTTTCTATGTATTGACTAATATAAGTGGAATCACACAATATTCAGCCATTTGTGTCTGGTTTATTTCATTCGGTATACCATCTTTAAAGTTCATCCATGCTGTAGCAAATGTCAGAATTTCCTTCCTTTTATATAAGACTGTGTAATATTCTGTTGCATGGATATCGCGTCTTTTGTTGATCTTGTTTATCCATCCACCCAACAGTGTATATTTGGGTTGCTTTCGCCTTTTGGCCTTTGTGAATAATGCTAATATGAACATGGGAACACAAGTATCTGAGTCCCTGTTTTTAATTCTTTTGGATACATTCCCGGAAGTGGAATTGCTGCATGAAATGGTAATTCTGTAGCAATTTTTTGTTCAATCTCTTAGCAGATATGTAATTTGCAAATACTCTCTCCCCACCTGTGGCTTGCCTTTTACTCTGTTGTTTCCTTTGATGCGGAGTTTTTGATTTTGATGAAGTTCAATTTATCTCTCTGGACTTTTGGTGTTATAGCTAAGCAATCATTGCCAGATCCAATGTCATGAGTATTTTCCCCTACATTTTCTTCTAAGAGTTCCTAGTTTCAGTTCTTATGTGTACATCATGTACATCATGTACATTGATTTATTTTGAATTAATTTTTGTATATGATTTTGGTTAAGGGTCCAACTCCATTCTTTTGCAGGTGAGTATCCAGTTTTCCTACACTGTTACATCTTGGTACCCTTGTCAACAGTTATTTGACCTTGTACGTGTGGGTTTATTTCTGGACTCTCTATTCTGTAGCATTGGTCTATCCATCTGTTTGTGTGTGAGTACAATACTGTTTTGATTACCTTAGTTTTGTGGCAAATGTTGAAATCAGGAAGTGTGTACCATCCAGCTTTGTTCTTTCGCAAGAATGTTTTGGCTACATGAGAGTTCCTTGAGAGTCTATATAAATTTTAGGATGGATGTTTGTATTTCCATGAAAATTGACATGGGGATTTTAATGAGCATAGCACTGAAGGAGTAGATAGCTTTGGATGATAATGACATTTTAACAGTATTGAGCCTTCTAAACCAATGAACACAGGATGTCTTTTCATGTGTTTACATCTTTATTTTCTTTCAGTAAAATGGGTTGTGGTTTTTAGTGCCTATCTGTCACCTTCTTGGTGAGTTAATTCACCTATTTTATTATTTTTGGTGCTATTGTAAATGGAGCTGCTTTCTTAATTTTCTTTTCATTGTTGAACTGATTTGTGTGTGTTCACTTTGTATCCTGCTACTCTGCTGATTTTTTCTTTAGTTCTAATGGGTGTGTGTGTGTGTGTGTGTGTGTGTGTGTATGTGTGTCATAGAAGGAAAAGTGAAAGCTCACAAATTTGTGGAAATTAAGAAATTTTTAAGCACCCAATGAGAAAAGGAGAAATCACAAAGGAAAATACAACATACATAAAGACGAGTGAAAATGAAAAGTACGACATATCAAACTTTGAGCTGCAGTGGAAACTGCCAAGAAGGGAAACTTTAGCTGCAAAGTGTAGGTTTTCTGCATAGAAGATCATGTCATCTGTGAGCACAGGTAATTTTAATTTTCTTTCCAATTTGTATATCCTTTATATCTTTTTCTTGTTTCATTTCTTTGGCTAAGACCTGTAGTGCTACATTTCACAGAGATGCTGAAAGTGGGCCCCTTGGCCTTGCTTTTGCTCTTGGAGACGACGCTGTAAGTCCTTCACCTCTGAGGCCAGTCTTACCTGTAGGTTTTTCATATATGCCTTTATTCTATTGAGGTAGTTTTCTTCTATTCTTGTTTTTTTTGAGTTTTTTGAGTGTTGAAAGGGTGTTGAATTTGTCAAAATTTTTTTTCTGCATCAATTGATGTCATTGTGTCTGTGTGTGTCCTTCACTCTGTGAATATGGTATATTACAATGGCTGAATTTCACGTGTTGGATCATTCTTGCATTCCAAAAACAAATCCCACTTTGTCATGATCTATAATATTTTTAATATGTTGCTGAATTCAGTTTGCTAGTATTTTGTTGACGATTTCGCATCGATGCTCATAAGGGTCTGTAGCTTTCTTTTCTTGTAGTCTTTCTGGTTTTGGTACCAAGGTAATGCTGGCCTCAAAAGAGGAGTTAGGGTGTTTTCCCTCCTCTTTAATTTTTTTTTAACAGTTTGAGAAGAACTGGTATTGTTTCTCCTTTAAATGTTTGGTAGAATTGACTAGTGAAATTATCAGGTCCAAGCCTATGTGGGTAGGTTTTTGATTGCCGATTTAATCTCTTTATTAGTACTATGTCTATTCAATTTTTCTATTCATGATTCAGGCTGAGTGGGTTTTGTGTTTTTAGGAATTTGTTTATTTCATCAAGCTATCTGGT